GTGCTAGATCTACTCATTACCATATTTAATTCCCACAACAACAATGTGAGATTGATATTGTCTCCACTTTGCAGTTGAGAAAAGTGAGCTTTTGAGAGAGTAAGTAACATGCTGGAAATGACGAATTTAGCTGAGATCCAAATCCAGCCAACCCATTGCTAATGCCCATGCTTTGGTCATTGTCATTCTCATTAGGATGTTTATTACAATCCTAGTTACCATGCCCTCTACCTGACAATGAAACGTATTTCTCATTCCAGTGTAGTGAAGACCACATTATAGCATAGTTTTGGATCATGTGTAAGTCAAAACATGCTTAAGCAGTAAGACAGGCTTGGTCTTGACCCAAACCCTGGGACTATGAAAGGATTCCACTATCTTTTAGAACAGAGAGAGATCAACCAGAAAGACGCTAAGATCTGAAGAAAAGTAATGGCTGGGCACGGTGACTCACACCTGTAATCTCAGCACTTTGGTAGCCTGAGGAGGGCAGATCCCTTGAGCCCAGGAGTTTGAGATCAATCTGGGCAACATGGCAAAACTCCATCTCTGTAAAATATACAAAAATTAGCCAGGTACAGTGGCATGTACCTGTGGTCCCAGCTACTCAAGAGGCTGGGGTGAGAGTATGACCTGAGCCCAGGGATTTCGAGGCTGCAGTGAGCCATGGTCATGCCACTGCACTCCTGCCTGAGTGAAAGAGCAAGGTTTTGTCTAAAAAAAATTAAAAAGAAAGAGAGTAGTGATTTTTCATTCATTCTTAGAAATGGACATAGAATTAATTGGACCTCCTTTCTTCTAACTATGTCATCTATACTAGCTCTGCTCAAATAGTGTCCCTGATGGACACGGGAAATTTAGAAACCTAGTCCCAAGAAAGGAATCTGCACAAATAGAATTGACCTTCCACCTACCCCTGGACAGAGGCTCAAGCCCCAGAAATGAACATTATAAAGAGATGTTCATTTTAACACCTACCTTCCCCTGAGGTCTCTTGCTCAATATTTTGCATTAATAGAGACATCAACAGAAATGTTTGCCACTGCTATTCTTGCACAAGGCTTTTTTTGGCTTCTGTGAAAATAGAAGCACCATGAATTACATGCTCAAACTTGTCCACATTCTTGGCAAAACAACAGAAAAATCCTGGGGGTCAAATTGGTGATAGAGTATCTACCAAATAGCTATTTTATAGCAGCATTTTATAAACTACCAAAGCATGTGTAATGGGTGTCAGAAAGTCAGAACAGATTTTACAAGGTTATGTTATAACTTCATTATGGCAACCGTGCAAACTGGAAACAAATAAAAAATTGCCACTTATCAAAGTAATTTAAGCAGCCTGTATGTTCCTTAAAAAGCGTAAGGGAAACAGAGGAATAGTAAATGTATTTTGACCAAAATTTGGCCTCAAGTTTCTCATCTGTAAAGTGGAGACATAAACTTATTAATTATTGCAAGGATCAAATGAGATCATATGTAGGGAAACAGCTCTTGCCTAATAGGTCCTCATTGTGCTTCGGTGGGATTTAAATCTGAGGTTTTGCAGAGAATGGGGCTGGTAATACCTGGCATCATTCATTTTTCACCAATAAAATGTTTTAGATTCTGATAGAGGTAATCAAGACTCAGTTCAAGCAAGTAGTTGCAACCACAAGGCACTTCACATGCTTTTGAACTAAACTTTTACTCTTCCACAGTGGATTATGATAGTCAATAAAATTCCAAGAGCCATTACGGTGTGATGAAAGCCCACGGGACTGACTATAAAGATGGCCTGCTCCGTGTAATAGATTGTTCCTTTTATACATAAAGCATTTTCATTGCTTTCAATACAGAGACTTCCTGCTACAGAAGGCTTAAATGTATATGCTTATGCTAAGCATAGAAATAAAAATCTGCTTTTAGATGTCATTTTCTGTTAGATTTCTCCTCCCAACCATCACTGTCTTGCTCTTTAGTCAGCCACTCGTGCCCTGGAGTACAGAATAAAGATGACAGGCAACAGCTCTAGACAGAGGCAACCCTACCCAAATGCCTTGACAACTGGTAAATGTTTGCAACACTCACTTCTACGCTTCACTCAACAAACAAGCACTTACTGAAATGTGTTGTATTGCTGGTAACATTCTCTCCATTCACAAAGAGATAAAGCAATACCATACTTTAAGAGGGAAAAAAATTTCAAAACCCCAAGCCAGAAACCACCCTCTCAACTGCTTAATTCATTAAAGATCAGTGAAGATGAAATAGTTTCATTGGAGTAAAATAATTAAATAGACTTAATTTTTAATATATGTCAAGTGGAATTAAAGCTATAAAATTCAAATGGACCTGGCAATGCTTTAACAGAAAGATGATCTGGATAATTGCCAGAGCTACTGTGAGTCTTGTGGAGAATGATCCACGAGCCAGAGAAGACCATTAAAGTTCCCATAGGAAAAAATTTTGCTCCAATACAAAAAAGTAGAATTAATGATCCATAATTTGAGGAGTGAACAAGAACCTGAATATGCTTTTACTGTTTTATTTTCAAAACATGTTTACTCATTTTCACCTGATTTCCATAAGAGCTTTGACATGACCATAGAATAAAGAGGAAAACATGTGACTAGGGTAAGAAATAACTATTGGGTTGGTGTAAAAGAAGTGAGTTTCAGCCATTACTTTCTTTCATTGATTGATCGATTGAGACAGTCTTGCTCTGTTGCCCAGGCTGGAGTGCAGTGGTGTGATCTCAGCTCACTGCAACCTCTGCCTTCCGGGTTCAAGTGATTCTTCTGCCTCAGCCTCCTGAGTAGCTGGGACTGCAGCCATGTACCAAGATACCTGGCTAATGTTTGTATTTTTAGTAGATACAGGGTTTCACTATATTGACAAGGCTGGTCTTACCTGTCCACCTCAGTCTCCCAAAGTTCTGGGATTCCAGGCATAAGCCACAACACTTGGCCAGTGGCATTACTTTCAATGGTAATCCCAATTACACCACCAGCAGCACATAGCCTTTCTGTGAGAACAGAACCTAAGCAAGAACCATCATTTGCAGTGTGAGCAGACCAGAAGGAAATGCAGGCCGGGCACAGTGGTTCAGACCTGCAATCCTAGCATTTTGGGAGGCCAAGGCAGGTGGGTCACTTGAGGTCAGGAGTTTGAAACCAGTCTGGCCAACATGGCGAAACCCCGTCTCTACTAAAACTACAAAAATTAGCCAGGTGTGATGGCACACACCTGTAATCCCAGCTACTTGGGAGGCTGAGACAAGAGAATCACTTGAACCTGGAAGGTGGAGTTTGCAGTGAGCCAAGATCGCACCATAGTATTCCAGCCTGGGTAACAGAGGGAGACTCTGTTAAAAGAAAAGAAAGAAAAGGAAGGAAGGAGGGAAGGAAGGAAAGGAGGGAGGGAGGGAAGAAGGGAAAGAAGGAGGGAAGGAAAGAGAGAGAGAAAGGAAAGGAAGGACAGAAAGGAAGGAAGGGAGAGAGAGAGAAAGAGAAAAGCAGGCAGAGGGAGAGCTGAATTGTACTTCATGCTTTCATGCTGAAAAGAAGAGATATTGGTGGCGGTAGGGGAGGGAGAGACTATGGTTAGATATCAGAAACCAGGAGAGTTGGATTGAGGACTCTGCATGGAGGATAGAAAAAGAAGGAGACACGATGGCTGATGGCTCAAGAGGAATGTTTAGGGGATGACAGAGCTCTTTTGACACTTGTATGGTGATTAGGGTAACCCTCCAACCCCCTATACAATTTTCAGTAATACCTACATAATGGATAGTGCTCTGTTGAACAGCTTTCTGTTGGAAAGCTAAGACAATGCCCTGGACTGCTACAAAGGTGAGAATGAGGATTCCTCCAAGTGGCCAGGTCACACCTAAATTGCTCTCAGTTGGTTTTTACAGACCGCCCTGGCAGTAGAACACCAGCTCTTCAAAGCTGACCTGGTTGCTCCCAGGTTTTTAACACAGTGCACTGCACACTGAGGTAAGAACAGAAGCAAACAAAAGGGAACATTATCTTGGCTTGTAGAATGGCTCATTCTTGGTTCTTCTTCTACCTCTGTTGGGGGCTGTCCAGGAATAAGAATCCCAAACTCAAATGACCTTAGGACACAAGGCACACCCACAAATGGGAAAAGCTGCTGTGTATATGACAATAGGGTATGTCAGGGCCTGTTGGGAACTGGAGGTTACAAACCCCTCCTAAAGACTTTCAAAATCAATGTATCAGAGAAAAAAAGTGGTGGCCAAGCAAAATGTCTGTGCAAAGGATTCAAGACCCCTAATTAGACTTGTCTAAATGTGACTACAAGGTTAAGTATTCAAGTGAATGGCTGGCCAAGGTCAGTATCCAGGTATTTTTCACAGAACCTCTTCTGAAAGCCATTTTTGCCTGGAATCACCATAATTAATCTAAAGAAAATTAAAATGTCATAACTGAGCTCCTTTCAAATAATTCTGGTGTATTAAAATATCTTTCGACAGATCATCCAGAAACTACGTTTATAAAATATTTTTTCATGGGTCCAACAAGACAGTTTTCAGAAGGTTTAACTTAATTATATTCCATTAAAAGTTGTCAGAGAACTGGGGAAAGGGCAGGGAATACAGAAAGGAAGCTTATTCCAAAGTCTTGGCAAACATGGTAAGTTTTCTTTGCGGAGTTGATCACTAAATCACTAACTCCAAACACAGCCAAAATTGCAATGGTCTGGTGACAGCCACACCAAAGTAGAGCAGGGACCCGTCCTTTGCCCAGGCTCCAGAACGCCTTAAAAATAGGAGCCAGTTTATACTATAAGCACTTGATGTCCTCGTGCCACAGCCAAATAGTCCATGAGGGCTTCAGCCTGACTTTGGAGCTCTAGAAATGGAATCCTTGATGACTTCAAATCGCCACATTCTGTGTCCAAGTCAGTCCCCCAAGTCAAGCCACTCTCCACCCAGCTCACTACACTTTATGATACTGAGGAGGAAAGAAGAGAGACTTTAGAAAAATCCTTACCTGTAGCTGCTGGTCTAATTCTGGAAAGACCGAAGGAATGGTGTCTTCAGGGGGTGTATCATCTAAAACATGAAAATAAAATGATTCTTCACTATAGAGCTATTCCTTGTATGAGAGGTGCCCTGCTGAAACCGTCCTTGGACTCCCCCGTAGTATCCCCCAATATTATCTACTGTGTCCGTCATTTTCATCACTTCAGTTGGGGGCAGACAGAATGTAAAGGACAATTTTTCTTGTTTTCTGTACAAACAGATGCATGGAGAGCTTAGTTGGCCTGAACAAAATTTTACAAGCAAATATCAGAATCCTCAAATGTCCAGGCTGGTAGTGCTTCAATTAAGAAGGACTGCTTGTCTTTCAGTACTCCTACATCGGCCAAAACCAAAAAATATGATATGCAGGAAGATGCTTTAACAAGGTGCTAACGAGGTGGCCAGAAGGACCTCAATGGGACAGAGAACATGTTCGTGAAAAGTAGAGGCATTCATTCTGCTCTGAATGACTGCAAGCGCTGCAAGCTGTGATGGTAATGCTGTCTGCTCCTACCACAAACCCCACGAACAGGCAGTTAACCAGAAACTCGTTCTGGGTTACAGAAACAGGCAGCAACCCAAATGGGGCGTTTCTTTCCAATACACCAGGCAGCACTCCTACCCTGCAGCAGAATTCACAGCTTTGTTAGGGAGCTCCAGAGCCCAGAGTCCAGAAAGACCTCCTGACATGTGCTTACATTGACTGGTTGGCAATAGGCAGCTGTTGCTGGATCGAAAGATTCACTTCTAAGAAGCATTTGCGGAAACCTGGCCAAAATATGGGTCAAAATATTCAGGTCCCCCCCAGATCTCTTCAAGAACATAGTGCTGACCCAGCCTTGGTGCTAGAAAGCAGAACCTCCATTATCTCTAGGTACTCTCCGGCTCTAAGGATCCACTGGACAGTCATTTCCATTCCCTCCCTCAGCACATATACAGTACCCATATACATACAGTATAGATACACATACAGTACACATATATATACAGTACATATACAGTATACATACATATGTATTACATATATACAACATACATATATATATAATAGATACAGTACAGATACATATACAGTATGCATACACATACATATACAGTACCCATAAACATGCATATATAAGAGATATAGTAGAGATATATATACAGTACACATATACATACATATACAGTACACAATACTACACATATACAATACACACATACATATATATAGTACAGATACAGTACAGATATGTATACAGTACATATACAGTTACAGTACCTACAAAATACATATACAGTACATGTGCACATACATACAGTATAGTACATATACATATGCAGTACATATATATAGTACATATATACAGTGCACATATATATACAGTACAAATACAGTGCATATACTACATATATAGTATACTTATATGTGTAGTACTCATACCTATACAGTACATAGATAGTACATATACATTGACATATGTACATATGCAGTGCACATACATATATACAGTATACATACATATACATATATAGTACATATATACAGTATGTATGCAAAATATAACGTAAAAAATAATTTAAAAATCAAAGCTATTATAATGTATAATAAAGCAAGAAAATACAGTTTCTGTGTTTTCATAGTCATCACCAAATTTCTTGATAAAAACAGATTGATGTTCCTTTTGAAGTAGAGGAAGTGATATGTAGAACTAAGTATCCTCTCCCAATGCACTGATGTACAGTCCAGAAAAACATGCAGCACACAGGCGTTTCTGGCATCTAAGGCATTGAAGGCACCGAAGATCATTGAAACCAGCATGGCATTCACTTTGACCAAACCCCTCAAGGGTCATATCACTTAATAGTCTCTGGCATACTTTAGTCGAGTGTAGCGTAACAGTACTTCCATTTAAAAGTGGTTAAAATAATGACAATGCATCATCAAATCTGAATCTGTTTTGTACCGAACCTATGCTAGACAATGGCTGTCCACAGATGCACTGCTACCACTTAACTTTGGCTCACAGAAAAAGTAGAAACTGAGAAATTTCCTGATCCTCTTACTGCAGGTTAGAGAACAGCTCTCAGAGGAATTGAGATTCAATACTCAGGCCCTTTGAATGCTCTCTTCCCACTTAGACTAGAAGTAACAAATTCTGTCAATTACTGTGCCTTGTTAAATCCATCCCAACATTTGCAAAGAATTGGAGAAAAGGCAGAAATAATGCACTTGTCACCACTGACCCTTTAGAGGTAGGCTTCATTATAAAACCTTTGCTTTGTGAAACCGATTTTGGTCCTAAGTGCATTTACGTTCACTGCAGTACAAGTTTAATAACCTAGATAGCACAATCATTTTAGCTCATTGGATCCAAAACAAAATAATTTGGCAAAGGTAAATGGGAACATATTATACTAGTGCATCCCAACCCTAATAATCATAGACAAGCAGGCACTTGTTGGAAGGAGACACCACTTCTGTAAAGTATAAGAGCAGCTAAGACATTCTAGAATTCTAAAAGACACCCAGGAATGAACCTCAAGGCTTCCTGAGACTTAATCCACCTTGTCCCCTATGAAGTCACACTCCTTCCTGCTTAATTATAAAAAAGAAAAAAAAAGTTATCCATTTACTTTACTACAGTAATGTAAATAGCAAACACCTGGTACCAACAGACTTAATGAGGCTCATTGTGGAAATCTATATCCTTATTTACAATCACACCATGTCCAGTCGCACATATGTGACCACACTGATAATTTTATAGATAAATAAAGTAGCTTCAGATTGGACTCTTTGAGTTGAAATAAGAGTCTAATTGATTAACATAGAAATCAACATACAATGGATGTTTTAGAGAGTCAAACAAAATAAAATGTCAGATTTTTGTTGAAATTTTTGGATCAGGTTGGATTAATCCAAGCAGGAAATAGCAGCAAAAACAAGAAAACCGAAGACAGATGTACGAAGCCCACCAAGTCCGAAAGCCAGGCTGTATTTCACCGCTTGATGCCATCTGGTTTAGCTGGCATCCCTACCAGCCAGAAATTTCAGGGCTTGCGAAGCTGCTTACAAAGCTGCCCCAAGTTGATGTGTGGTGTGTTTACTTTTAAACAGTGGCTGCCTTCTTTGACGGGTTTTAAAAATAGGCAGATATTCTAAAAGCAGGATGATGAATCACTGGATTGGGCCAAAAGGAAAGAAGGAAAATGACTCAGGCAGACTAGTAGCACAGCTGTTCCAAAAACATTTGGCTGAATCGTTGTAAAACATTTTGACAGTGATACTGGATCAGAGTTCCTGACAGCAGTTAAGTTTGTTTTGACAATTCCAGAAGCTCAAAGTAGACTGTACAGTAGCTGCACAAGAGACCCTCTAGCAAACTTAGCTTTTTCTGGAAAAAAAAAAAAAAGTTGCTAGATATGTTTATAATGGGACAAAATCACAGTGCAAGTATATTTTTATTAAAATCTATTTACCAAATATTTATTGGATGCCTAGTATGTACAAGGCTGGGACTGAGACTCATGCAAATTGGCAAATCACTTAATCATATTTTTTAATGCACATTAAGGAAGTAGTTTGAAGGCTTCCTCTTCAAAACGGCACTGTAGACTTACCAGACCAAGCAAAATGTATCCTAAGGAAAATTTTAAATGATGAAATATAAAGGAAAGAAGAGGAAAATTTTTTATATGAACAGATGTTCACTGCCTGTTTGGCAAATGCGATGTGACTAAGCCAATAAGATAGACTTTCTTATTGGTATCCCAACCATTGCGATGTACCACAGTACATTTGATGATGGGCTCCTTTCAACATCTATTGAGATGTTGGGTTGGTTTCATGATTATTTTGTATGTAGATTCTCTTCAATTGTCTTCTCTGTGTTTCTCCATAACTTGAATAAATAGGAGACATTGGGTCTGTAATCCAAATCCTCCCTGTTATTTAGCAATGAGAGTTAGCAATCAGTTAGCTGAGAATATTGAAGCTGGAAAGGACTAGGCAACCATCTGGTCCAACTCCCTCAGAGTAGAGCTAAAGATGAGGACCCCAAAAAGGGAAAGAAGCCACCCTGGCCGGCCGGGCGCGGTGGCTCAAGCCTGTAATCCCAGCACTTTGGGAGGCTGAGGCGGGTGGATCACGAGGTCAAGAAATCGAGAACATCCTGGGCAACATGGTGAAACCCCGTCTCTACTAAAAATACAAAAATTAACTGGGCATGGTGGCGCGTGCCTGTAATCCCGGCTACTCGGGAGGCTGAGGCAGGAGAATTGCCTGAACCCAGGAGTCAAAGGTTGCAATGAGCCGAGATCGCGCCATTGCACTCCAGCCTGGGTAACAAGAGCAAAACTCCGTCTAAAAAAAAAAAAAGAAGCCACCGTGGCCATATAAGACTAAGGTGTGTCCCCCAGCCCTGGGCTCTTTCCACCATACCACTCTGCTCTTCTTCACTTACTAGTAAATAGGTTCTCAGACTCATATTTCAAGAACCAGTAAAATTTTTCCTAAAATATTCTGACTGGGTGCAGTGGCTCATATTTGTAATTCTAGCACTTTGGGAGACCAAGGCAGGAGAATCACTTGAAGTCAGGAGTTTGAGACCAGCCTGGCCAACATGGTGAAGCCCCATCTTTACTAAAAATACAAAAATTAGCTGGGCGTGGTGGTGCACTTCTATATCCCAAGTACTCAGGAGGCTGAGACAGGAGAATCGCTTGAACCTAGGAGGCTGCTGTGAGATCCGGAGATTGCAGTGAGCCAAGATCAAGCCCCTGCACTCCAGCCTGGGTGACAGAGCTAGACTCTGTCTCGAAAAAAGAATTCCCTAAAATATTGAGAATTATGTCTTAAGAGCACCCAGGTTTTTATTTAGCTAGTAAAGATGATTCAAAAACAGCCACCAAATAGCATAAGTATCCCTTTATGATAAAGAGAACATTTCAACACCAAAATCATAAGGCAATCATAGGCAAAGGAGTAGCCATGATATTAGATAAATTTAACTTTATAGACAAAAACAAAAACACCTCACTGTCATACG